TGGACGGCGAGCCGGAGGGCTGCTGGTTGCGTAGCGACAGGCGGCCGCCATGTTGGACCGCGAGCCGGTCGCGTAGCAACGGGCCGGGCCTAGTAGAGCCTGGCCCTCCTCATCCATGCGTCCGAGAGAGCCCCCCGGGCCCCGCTTCCCCTCCGCCTCCTCCTCCTCGTGCCTCGCGGGGGCGGCAGGGAGAAGCTCCTTGACGCCGGGCTTCCCCCATGGCAGCGGAGAGCCAGGCCGGGCCCCGCTCCTCAGCACGGGAAATAGGAAAAGCCAGAGGTGGCAATCTGCGCCTGCACTCCTGTGTTGACTCCGGATTTCACTCATTTCAGGGGAAATCCAGAGATTGGGGCCGATTTCTTCCTTTTTTTTTTTTAAACTGCAGACTTCATTGATGTCAGTGAAAACCCGAAGTTTGGAACCGATTTCTTTGATTTTTTTTACTCAAAATCATTGATATAGTTGAAAATCCAGAGATTGGAGCCGATTTCTTTGCTCAATTACTCCAGATTTCACCAATAGCAGAAAATGCAGAGACTGGACTCTCTCTTTGCTCAATTACTCCAGACTTTCCTGATGTCCGTGAAAATCCAGAGATTGAAACCGATTTCTTTCATCGTTTACCCCAAACTTCACTGAAGTCAGTGAAAATCCAGAGGTTGAATCTATTTATTTGCTCATTTACTCCAGATTTCACCAATAGCAGAAAATCCAGAGACCGGACCCTCTCTCTTTGCTCAATTACTCCAGACTTTCCTGATGTCAGTGAAAATCCAGAGATTGAAATCGATTTCTTTCATCATTTACACCGAGCTTCATCGATATACATGAAAATCCAGAGACTGAAATCGATTTCTTTGATCATTTACCCCAAACTTCACTGATGTCAGTGAAAATCCAGAGCTTGAAATAGGTTTATTTGATTTCTTTTACTCCCAGCTTCATTGATATAGGTGAAAATCCAGAGATTGGAGCTGATTTCTTTGATTTTTTTTACTCCAAACTTCACTGAAGTCAGTGAAAATCCAGAGGTTGAATCTATTTATTTGCTCATTTACTTCAGATTTCACCAATATCAGGGAAAATCCAGAGACTGGACTCTCCGTCTTTGATCATTTACTCCAAACTTCACTGAAGTCAGTGAAAATCCAGAGGTTGGATCTATTTCTTTGCTCGTTTACTCCGGACTTCACTGATGCCCAGACATTACAGCAACGAGAACGTGACCCGTACCTATAATAAGCAAATGACAAATTCCTCTGAGAAGAGAGGTCCGGATTCAGCCACCATCACGTCTGCTGAACGGTACTTCTGTGAGGGATGGATGCTCGACACGGTAGGACGTGGCTGGCTGGCTGCCTCCATCAAACGAAAAGCACACACTTATAAAACGACCACCGCCATTCCCCTTAGAGCAGATATCTGGTAATGAAATAAGATTCGACTATAGCAAAAAAGCAAAGCAATGGAAAAGGGACCAAGCCAACGAATAGGGAATGGCATAACTAAGAAAGGTTCGGCATCTAAGGACCCCCAGCCATGAATCCTTGTTCCGCGTTAGTATTATACCACATTGTCGTGTCAATATAGACAACCCAAAGAACAGGGAAAAAAGCCTATTAACATTAGGCTAAGTTCAAACACACTCAGGGGTCTCGCACTCTATTTTGGGGGCTGAAGTGACATAGAGGTAAATTTCATACATTTTTTCCAAGAAAGAGACTGATTTTTGTGTCTCCGATTTGCTTCTGAAACTGCCAATATACCTGATTCAGCGGTGTACCTCAATGTGCTCGTGATTGGGGATGAGATTTAAAAGGCACCAAAGCAATTTAAACAAGTAAAACGTACATCATTGGGAGTCTAAACCCTCTGCGATAGGGCTAGTAGGGGCAGGAGTCTCATCCCAGTTGAAGATTCACTATACATATTTCCAGTTGTTTTTTTTACATGGACATTTAAGCATCTCTGAAACAAAGATGAGTAAAAATCCTCAAGATTTGGGATACATTTTTATATTTTGCTAGATCCATGTTTTGATAGAGCAGTTTGCAATTTTTCACAATACATTTTTTGCAATATTTTTTCTTGGCCGATGCACTATAAACATTCAACAGACCAAAGTCAAATGTGACACAAGACTTACCCATTGATTTATCCTGCACCCTCCTGTTAGCTGTTTATCCTGCTACTTCCCCCCCGCTGTTTCTACTCCTTGGTGCATAAGCTACACCAGTCTATATTCTTCTCTGAATCTGACCCACAGAGTTTTCCATCTCTATTTTTATTGTACGCTTGATGCAACAGAATGAGACTGTTACAATGGCAGAGTCTAAGTAGGTCAAAGAATCGAAAATCTTGTAGTTACTGCTAATGAGAAATTTAAAATCTGCAACGTCTAAGATACTTTAGAGTGCATTTTGTTCAGAAGAGGAATTGTTAACTGTGTGAGGCTGAAAGAGATGGATTACAGGAAAATTAAATGTAGGGTTTAACTGAGAAATAATCATTTTCTATGAAAGATAATGACTTCTCTTGAGGCTAGTATCAAGATTTATTGACCCAGGAGGTTAATATTGATCAAAGCCAAGGCAAGCAAAATATTAGACCTTGAAGTAGAGTAATCTTGATATTGAAGTCTTGCCACTGACTGAACAGGTCAATATATCTGGGTGCCAAAGTCAAAGGCATTGTACACATAATGGTGGAGGATATTAAATATGTCCGGCATGTTCTGTGCATCCACTTCTTATTCTCATCAGTAGGAGTTACTTTATAGCTATGTCCTTCTTCTATATCTAGCTATCCTACAAAGATTCAGGCTTCACTCAAGTTCCTGATTGTTAGTATAATGGTTGTCTCTCAAGAGTAACAAACAGTCCTATACGATCCACCAGTTTGAATACAACAACAGCCAAGTCCTTGATCCACCCATTCATGGATATAATTGATATTTAAAATACAGTTTCATTTCTAACAGGAATTCGGAGGATGCTGTTGTTAGATAAGTGTAAAGTCTGAGAAAAATAGGGTGCTTTAGTGTATAGATATTGGTAAACTCAGGGCAGGAGCAAACTTGGAGTTAGACTCACTTAGGTCCTGAATTTCCAGAAATGTTTGTACATGCTTAAGTTTACCAATCGTGATTACACCGACTACAAGAAAGAGACTACTGTTAGCGTGTAAAGCTGAGGGTATGCAACAGTCTTTGCAGGTTCAGGGCTTTCAACTGTTATCTTCTTACGGTGGAAGCTTTACGTTGTTAATGTCTTTACATTATACGTATGTCGAATGTCTAGCATAACAAGACTTGGATCCCTTATTGATAACTCCTGGAGCTATGGCCATGCAAAGAAGAAATAAAATCATAATAAGCGTAGTACACGAGTCATAAATTCACACGGTTGGTTGTGACAAAAAAAGATAGTCAATTGAAAATTCCATATGCTTTATTTAATCTGTTCAAGAAGCTTAAAGAAAGATTCAGTGCAAAAACTAGTTTGAAGTATCAGAATTTTAAAATATACACACAGGAAACATTTGTTTTGTCCAACAAAACTGAACCTTAAATAGTGCATAAATGCTTGTATTAAGTGAACTTGTCTCATTTCTTTATGAAAGATTCCCTGATTAAGCAAGATATGAAGGAATCGGTTGTACTTAATGATTTAGCTCCCCTGTAATTAGTCACTGGATGCATCTACACCTGCAATTAACTGGAAGCAATGAGCTCTGGTGCTTATCACGGCAGAGTTTATTGCTCCTGAGTGCACTGTTTGCACGTGCGCCTGGGACCGCAGCACGTTAAGCCAGGTCGGAGCAGCCCCGGGTGGCAGAGGGCCCCTGGGGTCAGCCTGCCAGGCTGGGGCCGCTTCCCCGGCTCAGCGTGCTGTGGAAGGGCTGGCTGGGGCACAAGCATGCTTCAATGCAGGTCTAGCAGGCATGCCCCAGCCAACCAAAGCAGTGTCTACACATGTGCTGCTGTGGAGTAAAAAACTCCGCAGGAAGATAGTACTTGTATTTACCAGTACTACCTTTACCTTGCTGTGGCGCTAATTAGTTTATTCCAGCCTAATAGGGGTGCATGTGTAGACACGCAATATTTACTGTAGAGCTAATTAGTCTACCCCGCAGTAAGCATCTCATGTAGACGCACCCACTGAGTACTATCAAACTATACAAGGAACAAATCATATAGAAGCAAAAATTGGGCCCAAGTTATCTATTAAATCATGTCTGTTTAAAACAGTAACCATTAAAAAGAAATCAATCCTTCTTCTCTGAATGTAGAAGGAAAATGCAAATGCAGGAACACACTGAAAAATTATCTGGATCACAAAATATCAACATACCCCTCCCAATGCCTTGCTTTTCCCAGTTTTGCCTATTAGAATAAAAGTCATACTGATGCAGCCTACATTCTTCCTCAAATTATAAGAACTCAGACAAACTCATGTGTGCCAAGTGCATACTAAAGACTTACCGGTACTATTTTCGTTAACATATTCATTCCATAAAACTAGGTTGCTGAGCAAGTAGGAATCTATTTAAAGTGCATCATATTTCCATGTGTGGTTTGTTTGCATAAAATCACAGTCCCTGACTCCACTCAGTCATTCTGCAACCCCTGCTCCAGCCAGGCCCGGGATTGTTCCTACATTATGTTCTTCAAGGTTTTCTTCAGTCTAATGGTAGCCTTGTCAAGTGAAGGGGTTCATATAAACCATTGGCACAGGGGACAGCAGGTTTCTAAGGAGCAGAAGCAGTATGGCTGAATTAATACACAGAGCCAGCATCAGTGTTCCAAGTGAGTGCCAAACCTGAGCAGGTAGATTCAATTTGGGGAGGGCTTGGGGAAATGAAATCCCCATAGTCCCACAGTCTAGAACCAGGACAGGGGCTGCTGGTGAGTCTCTCTGCAGTTGCCTCTGCAGCTTGTTAGGCTGGCATGCAGCTACAGCCTCTTTATGTCAGGTGTGATGGTGTTGGGTCATGGTTTTTGTATGGTCACAGATCCAGCAAGCCCTCTCTTAGTCTGACCAGTAGGGTATTATTAATTATTATGGTGGTGCCTATGCATAGGGTGACCTGTAGGGTATTATTAATTATTATAGCAGTGCCTATGCATGGGGTCTCATTGTACAATGTATTGGACAAGAGGAGCAGACAGAACCTGTCACCACAGACATAGGATGGGGCAAGAGATCACACGTAAGCAGAACGAACAAGGGGAAGATGACAGACATCATGTTTCTTCCATCTTTAGTTAGTTGGGCATAAGTTAAATGGAAAGCAAAATATCAGAAGGGACACTGAAGGCCAAGGTTTCTGGGGGCAAGCTCATGGTACAAGAGTGGAAAGTATGAAGTGAAACTGGCCTTCCCACCAGTCTATGCAGGGTCACCATGAAGACCCTTTACCCAGCATAGAAGGGATTTGCAGGTACCCTGAACCTCTGTGCTGCACCCAGTTTGCGCACACACAGCACATGTGCAGTGCTTAAGTAATGCAGGTGGCTCTTTTGTGGGTAGGATGTCATCCTTGGGAAGCAAGTGCTACCTGTTTTCTATGGTCAAGTATAGGAATACAGTCCCTTCTCCCAAGGAAGCTGATCCCAAGCCTCAGGGAGTGGCAACAACTTAAATACTTGCGAGTATTATTACATATGCACAGTGTATATTATAAACATAGGCACGTATATTTGTTCTCCATTTTGCAAAGCTTTTAATGTACGATTCACAAGGCATCGTACCCAATCTAAATGCAACAACAAAAAATAAGGTTATTTGCAGATAAATTGTTTTTGAACCTTGTTTATATATAATTTATAGGCTAGTAATAGGCAATTTTTTAACACCAATTGTGCTATTAAAAATGCATATGCGAGTAAAGTGCTGACTCCATCAAAGTACAGATAAATAAAAACCAGAGTAAAACTTTAGTCGCTAGAGGAGAATTTAGATTGTGTGGCACCCATCTGAGAAGAGTGCTAAGTTTTAAGCTCACATGGGATCACTGCAACTTTTTAGTTGATTTTGTTTCATCCTCGAGTCACTTGTTTGCTCTGTTTTCATAGCACATAAAAATCTGTAACTTAGACCAGCAGCACCCTGCGCTTAGGTGCACCTTTCAGAATGAAAATTCATCAGTGCATGGTTGTGGGTCTTTTTGCCCTCAGATCAGAGCATGTTAAGCCTCCGCCCTCGCAGGCTGCTAAGCAAAACTCCTAATCACAAGTTCTTCTCAGGTAGATCTCGTTAAGAACTCGGACTGTATCAAGGATCAAGCTGTCAAAAATGTCGTCACTTAGTCTCCTCTTCACAGTCAATTCATCATCGTCGTAGTAAATCCACTGAGATTCTTCTTTGTGGAGTTCCTGGATCTAAAACGTAACACAGACAGGAATGTTGTCTGCATCGAGCATAAGGGCTCGGTCCTGCCAAGTGTCTGAGCAGTTGGGTCGTTATTCAGCAGAGCACCAAATACATGCTTTACTTCAAGCATGAAGGTTGTTCTGTTGAAATGAATAGGAGAAATCACATGGTTCAAGCTAAATGCAGGCTTAAGTACTTGGTTGGCTGGGAGCCAGACACTCAGCACCTCATAGGAGCATGCTTATTTTATTTTGTTCAGCTTTATAGGTGGAGTCAGCATAATTAATAATTCAAGCCCCAAAACTATGTTTTGATTACTGTCATTTCCTACTGATATCAACCACGAGAGCATTCAAGCCCTTCAGACACTGAGTTTCTTTAAAACCTTTGACATAACAGTAAGGATAGTAATAATAATCAACTAGTATTAGTATTGCTCTTATTATATTAATAATAATACTAGTAATAAGAGTGATAATAAATGTAAAGGCAGGGATATTATAACTTTTTATGAACCAGTAAGTTATTTTAAGTAAAGATGGCTTCATTGCAAGCATACAAGTCTTACTGACTTTCTTAACTCTAGTAAAAAAAAAATCTCCCCCAGCAGTGTCTGCTTACCAGAATCAAGTCCACTCTGTCCCTTTTACAGTTTCCATACTTTGTCATATTAAGGAGTTTCCTCTTCATCTCCAAGTCATTTTTTTCAAAGTTCATTATCTTTATAATTTCTCCCTGAATAATAGACTTGAAAAATAAGAGAGACTGATCTGTATTTCTCTGCATCATAGATCTGCCATTATGAAAGGTGCAAGTGCGAGATGTGGGTTCCAGAACTGAAGTCCAGGTTTTAATATGGAAATGTCAGGGGTTGTATATGGGACAAGATGAATTCTGAGTTTTGGTTCAAGATTATAAACAGTAAATACTGCATTTTTAAAACCTGACGTTTTGGAAGCTGACTAGGAGATTTGGAGGCCCAAACTGTATTCCTTTTAACATAAAAGCATCTCCAGGCTGTAGCACATGTGTCTGCAGGTTAATTCTTCATAATTGCAAAGTTTAGAATGCTACGTGCTGTTGGAAATTTTTATATTAACTAACCAATCTCACCCCATTTTCATGCATCTATTAGAGAATGACCATCCCCTTTTATCACCACCTGAGTTGCACCATAATTGCCCTAGGTACTGCACGTTTCTTAACCATTTTACCCATTGCACGGGCAGATCTATATGGACTTTCAGAAAACATTAACTTGCCAGGATATACCTTGACTTCATTGACATCTGGCTTCCTCTGAAGACGTCTGGAGCAACGAGAACCCAGGTTTTCTTTCAGCCACGGATAAGTGTTTGGATTCCCCATTACTGCATATTCTTCTTGCAACAGCTCCTGAGTCAAATCAAATATAATCTGCAACAATGAGGAAACACAACAAAATGAATGGAATCTCACCTTGATACTTTTTCAAAAGTCATTTTAGAGCTGGTGAAATGGGGTGGAGAAACAGCCAGGGAAG